CATCGCACTGGTACAAATGGCGAGTCATGTATTACAGTAAAGGTATTATACTTTGTAGGTTTGTTGGCTTCTGATTAAAAGCATCTGCATGACAAATTTTGCAAGTGGTCTGGGGATAATTTTCATGAAAAACAGTCTAGTCAACAAAATCGAAGAGTCTGTTTATGTAACCATATTATCGAGGAATCTAGAAGTTTCTATATATTTGAGGTAGTTTCAGTCTCATGAGATCAAGAATCAGCTTTATCCATTTTGTTGCTAAATTGAATGATTGCGACAACTAATGCGAAGAAACGAGTCACATTAGTAGAACATATACACTTGCATCGATTAGTAAATTTTCATTCGCTGAAATTGAGCCATCGTTTAACTTACACTGAGAACGAGCACCCTTTTATTTTTGGACTGACTGAAATCTTTGGATAAATACAGTTTTGGTGGCTTTCTGTGATATGAATGATCTCCATGGAAAAATATAATATTATTGTCTTTGGGTAGTTGCCCAAGGATTCTTGCTTTTCCTTTTATCCTCATTTCTAACTGAAGACTTTTAATTTCTAGAATCCAAAGCTTCGCTTTCCAAAATGAAGTTTTGTTCAGTTTCTGAAAAAAAAATCAAATTTTCTTCGCTATTGTCATTGTTCATTTCATCAACCTTTTCACTGTTGTTTATTCTCTGTTGGTTTCTGTCGTCAAGCGTTCTGTAGATACATTGTTAGTTTATCTAAGATTTGATATCAGATATGGATTTCTATCGGCTGGAATCTCGTATAAAATGTGATCTGAATAAATATAAACTACTTTGGGCCATATGGCTTTTGTTTAATCTAGATTTGATTGTTTGGCTAAAGGTATTTTGTGAAACATATACGATATCAGACATGCATAGTTCCCTTAGGGAATTTTCTGCATTTCTCACACAATTATTATTGTATTTATCTTCACTCACAAGTTCTCTCCAGGTAACTTTAACAGTGTTTAGTAATAATCAATAGGCACTACCTAAACGTAGGCCTATTTTTGTTTCATTGTTGTAATTGCGGATAATCACGTGGGAACTCGGCGATAGAGTCTGTACGTGACATATTCTCAGAGTAAAACAAAAACAAAAAAAGGTGAAAAAGCGAGTGCAAATTAGGCTTAATTTATGTCAAGCAAACATAATATACACTGAAATAATTTTATAGGTCACTAATCGTTAATACAGTCTAATTTCCCAACAACGATTTGCCGTTAAAAACAATCTAAATAACAGGTATCTAAATGAACTTTGTGTTTTGTAATCCAGGTAGCTTGGTAAGCTGTATAAACGTAGGCCGTTGCCAGTTTAATTATTATTAGACATTTGAACTTTATATTAATAATGACGCTATACTTGTCATATTAAACTTGCACTGACAATGGTGTTAATTTCGACGCGTCTCAGCTATATCATTGGCACTACTAAATTTTACATTACCTCAACAACAATGTTAAAGTAACCAAACACATCTAGACTCATATTAATGATATAACGACATCTCTGGACAATATCAAAAATACAGCTAAGATAACATCCGCAATGTAAATATAAATACTGTACTTATGCAACGCCATATATACATATGAAAATCACCCTAAACCAGGCCAATAATGTAATTAAGAAACCCACACCTAGAGATCAGGAACAATATAGCTAAGAAAGCCACATCCATACAACACTAAGTTGTCACATCAACACAACACCAATAATGTTTAAGAAGTCACACCAAAACAATTCCAACAAACTGGATTAAGAACAATAATATAACATCAATAGTATGAAGAACTTAGATGCAATAACAACGCTGCAACATTAACAGAGCTGAATAACACATACACATTGGACAGGAAAGTACCGAGGCTAGCAACATTAACAGATCTGAATAACGCATACACATTGGACAGGAAAGTACCGAGGGTAGCAACATTAACAGATCTGAATAACACATACACATTGGACAGGAAAGTACCGAGGCTAGCAACATTAACAGATCTGAATAACACATACGCATTGGACAGGAAAGTACCGAGGCTATCAACATTAACAGAACTGAATAACG